CAAAGCAAATGTACGATTAGTAGAATTGTGTTGCTTCCTCCAGCCTCAAGAGGAAGAAAGCTAAAGCTTTTCTGCTCTGTACATGGTCGTGGGAAGCAAAGGAAAGTGGGTGGGAATGGAATGGAAAGGATGAGGTGAAGAAAATGCAATCATTGGCAAATATCCTAGGACAGAGCGCATCGGCGGTTACATTGTCCCAGTCCTCCTGTGGCGAGTTTCTCCAGAGAGGGCTGAGGAAAGACAGACAATGTGCTAGAAGGTTGTTGAAGCCATTGGCATTGATTAGATGCTCCAGTTCAAGGGTTATTAGGCCAGAGACTTCATTTAGAGAGTTGTAAATTTTTCTGTCAACTATTCACTAGCAAAAGGCCTAAGGAAACCAAATATCCTTATGCTTCACACACACACACACACACACACACACACACACACACACACACACACACACTAGTGATGAGTTTCATAATATTTTCTTTCAAATATATCATGTACTTTGATCATATGCACTGCCATACTATTCTCTACCTCTCCTCATACCCTCCAACTTCTATCCTCTCTTTCCCAAGCTTCTGTTTTTCTTTTCATGTCATATATCTACATATGTATAAATAATACAAGTATATGCTTCCACAAAAGCTAGGATCCACAAATTATAGGAAACATGAGATAATCATTTTCATGAACATGGCTGCCCTAATTAGGGTTACTATTGGTGTGATTAAACACCATGACCCAAGCAACTTCAGGAGGAAAAGGTTTATTTGGCTTAAACTTCCATCTCACTGTTTATCATTAAAGGAAGTCAGGACAGTAACTCAAGTAGGGCTGGAAGCTGGAGGCAGGAACTAACGCAGAGGCAATGGAGGGGAGCTGCTTACTGGCTTGATCCTCATAGCTTGCTCAACCTGCTTTTTTATGGAACCCAGGGTCACAAGTCCCGGGTGTGTTTTTTCAGCTGAAGTCTTTGCAATATTTGAATGAGGTGAGGTTAAAGCATTGTTGTTCCCCTCTTAGAAGGGGTGTAGCACAGTAAGCTTAGGTTCAAGATATTTGGCTATTTCCAGCAGTACTCCAAAATCAGAACACTAACTGAAAAAGCAACCACAACTGATGGAGGCACCCATTATGAAGGTCCAGTTGGTAATCAATTAACAATTTCCTCTACTCTAGTAATTTTGGAGTAATAAAGAAACAGGAATATATGGTGTGCAATAAGGTATTAGTTTCTATGGGTAGTGATGGACTAAAAATAAAAGAACAAAACCGGTGGTTAGTATTAAGAACAGTAGATTAAAAAGTCGAAGAGGGAAAAGTAAACTGAAGAAGGGAGCGATAAAGATGAAGAAAGAATGAAGTCACTTGTAGCTAAAGGTAGGCTGGGGGTGGGAGTTAAAGAAATGCAGCCAGACCATCTAAAACACCCCCGCACTCTAAAGTCTGAGGTCGGTAGACCCCCACTGCCTCTCCAGCTCAAGGCCATACATGTTCTTTGGTAAAAGTCTTTAAAAGAAGAAGAGGAGAAGACAACATAGCTGCTCTCCAGCAACCTAGCTTCAATCATCAGGGATCACAGCAGCCAGTGGTTACGTGCCATCTGCCACCTTCTTGCTGCTCTTTTTCTTGTCTTATGGAATAAAATTATTTTAGAAGTTTCCAGAGGTACTCCAGGTAAAGTTACCCCAATTTAGCAACCTTTCAAAAATAATCCGCAATAAATCAGTATTTCTGTAAAACTTTAACAATTAGAAGTATTCACTCTAATCACCAACATATTCCATTTCTATGTCTTAAATAAGACATTTATTGCGCTGATTTTATTATAAACAGGGGATAAAAAGTAAAAATCTCAACAGAATCTTCACAAAAAAAAAGAATTATAATCGCTCTTTTTTCATAACCTATTGTTTTTATTTGTTGAAAATAACTTTTAACAAAGAAAACTCGGAAGGTCATCAGGCAGGAATTCTGGACTGCCGGTGCAATGCTGGCGCAAGAGCAAGTGCCCTGAGCCTCTGCAGCTCCCTGGCAAAGATCAGATTTAGAGAAGGCAGAGGACGCTCAGCCAAAAGTACCTGGCTCTGTTCTCAGGCGGCAGTACATGTGCTCTTGGAGCTCTCCTACCACCCTAAAAGGCTTCACACACTCCCACCTGCAGGCTCTGGAAGAATGCCAAGAAACTGGCCTTAAAGAGGCCCTGCTTCTCTACTGGATGCAACTACAAGACAAACAGGATGGGTCACGGGGTTGGGGCACAAGCACTGTCACAATGGCGGAGGATGCTTTGAATACTGGATTGCGTCCTGAGCAGCTCCGATGTCATAATTCTCAGTCTGTAGAAGCCTAGTGAGCCAGCCACCTTCATCAGAGAAGCCCATGGACAGTATCTGCGAGAGCGACTTGATCAGTCGAGCATCAGCCTCTGGTGGGAGATGTGGGTACAGAGCAGCTTCCTTCAGCTCTGCGGGTCCTTCCTGTGAGGGGTCTAGAGAGCTTGGCCCTTCTGGTTCTGGCATCTGTAGAGACTGGCGTTCACCGGTGGATGGGTCCACTTCTTTGGAAGTCAGTTATGTCCAGTCGTCATCTCCTCCTGAGCAGTTATCAGAACTCCAGCTGTTCCCACTGTCCCACTGACTCCAGAACAATCTTTCTCATTTGCTCTGTGAGGTACTGTGAGGGGCCTTCTCCTGACTTCTGAGGAGCAGCTACTTGCCTTCTGTGCTCATGCTGGAACTGTCTAGGGCAGGTGGCTTCTCTTCCCTTCATGTTCCACATCAGTTAATGAATAACTGCTTCCCCACAGGACTCAAAAAATGACAAAAATGAGTCAGATACGTTTTAGCAAAAGTGTATCCATCAGAGCCTTTGCAGTACACTATAATATAGGCCAGGATAAGATAACCTTCATTTTTAATAATCTTTGTTTTTATATCTCTGATCGAGGAATGGTACTAAGTTTCTCTAATTACCCTCAGCTTATGATTAATAATATTTACCTTGGATTAATAAAATTATCCTTGGATGCATTTGTTTATTGATAACATGAGAGACGTGTGGTAAATATGTACTCAGAACATGATAAGACCAATATCACAAAGCCTAAGTCAGAAGGTAATTTATAATATATAAATAATTATTATTGTTTGTGATTCACTATTCTCTAAAAATAATGAGAACTTTACTAATAAAGAAAAAATAGTTATCAATATATTTGCATAAGTAAAAACATTTTTAGTACAACAAGCCTCCGGTCTTTAGTAATTAATAGTTATATATTATACATTAAAATTGATGAACTATATTAAATATCTTACATTTACTCAAAATTATTTGCAAGACTTCCCGGTTGTATGGTGTTATTCAGGCATAATTTTGTCTCTTAGGGAGCTTATCATTTAATTGGTAGATGACTGACTAGATAAGATGAAGTTCAAAATTTGAAATAGAGCAAGAAAGACATGCATAGAGAAAATTTTACTAAACTTTACATGTTTAGCAGAATGAAGTCATGTTCATTCTTTCACTCTATCATGTTTGAGCCAACTGCTTTAGTGAGATTTTAATTTACATTTTTCTACTTTGTGAGAGGAAACTGTGAAAATGTATTTTCCCGTCTCACTAATCATAACATAACTAGACTACGTGCATAGTTCTGAATGTCTTGACTTGTGGGTTATAGAAGAAAAGGGGAAAGTTCCCAAGTGTAGCACCTGCACTGTGGGGCAGTTCACGAGTTGGGCAAGGGGCTGGGGATTAAAGAGCACAAGAGAAGTGGGTCATTACTGAAGAGAGAATGCAGAATGCCATTTATTCAAGCTTAGAGAAAGCCTTATATACCTAACTGCTGCAGAGTGGAAATCCTCCAGGCAGGTGGGAAATTACCAGGCTCAAGATCTTCAAAAAGGTGAAAGTAATGCCAACTATTTCCAAAGCTCTTCTGAGGGTAAAGCGAGAATTTTTTGTAAGTCATCCTGGGATGATCCCTGGTCATAAAAACTATCCAATAAATATCTGCTCCCTCCCAACCCCTAAAAAAAAAAAGATGGGGCAAACAACTCCCCTATAGCTAACCACCAGGGTGGGCAGAGGGAACAAACAGATGTTTTGCCAGAAACCGCAAGCTTTCCTCAATATGAAGGTAGAGGAGGAGAGGTAGACCTTTGGGCCCTATACCCAAGTTCCCAAAATTCAATCCTTCTGTCTCTTTCTCTCTCTCTTTCTATGTGTGTGTGTGTGTGTGTGTGTGTGTGTGTGTGTGTGTGTGTGTGTAAATAAGATTAAGGACTCAGAAGTATGTAAGTGATCACTTTGCTGACAGGTTATATTGATAGTTTTATGACCAAAAGTCACCAACAGAGGTTACAGAAATTATAGGATTTATACTGAAGTGATCCATGCCCTATTCTTGTGAAAACCCTTGGCAGGAGAAAGAGCCATTGATAAATGATAAAGAAATATAGCTTAATATAAAGAGAAGAAATGACCTCTGAGTCCAAGCTTAGATTTACCAAAGAGAAATTAGTGTCCACAAAAAGATGCATACAAATGTGATTGGTAGCTTTATGTTCTGAGCTATAGGAAAATTTATCATTTACTAAACTAAGAAAACTTGGAGCAGATAAGGGATAGGAGCTAAGTGTATGGTTTTGGACATGTAAATATGTATTGCTCATTTGATAACTTAGTGGCATTATCAAAAGTTTGATGTTCTGGCAAAGAAGAAGAAGATTAAGATACATAGTTGGGAATCATTAATATATGCAATGTATTTTCAATCACCATATTGTCTGAGGTAACCAAATCAGTTCATGCACAGAAAGTAAAAGTTTGAATACTGAGTCTTGAGGAATCTGATTCTTATGGTATAATTAAGTAAGGAACTAGCCAAGAATTAGGACTGAAACCAGAAACACACAAGGGAATATCCACACCACTACAGTACCACCAGTCCAATGCAAATGGCACTGAGTGACTGTGGTCTAAAGCTCCGAAACAAGCCTTACCTTCTAAGTTGACTGTCTCATATATTTTGTCACAGTAACAGAGAGCTGACAAATACAAGACAACAGTGATCCATTTTTCTTCTTTCGTGTGTGGATATCCTAGGAAACAGTCAAAACATCCTTGTAAGTCAGATTGTGACAAATATCTTGGCAAACAAATTAATATTTGCTGCAGGAAAACCCTTACCTATAGGTTTCTTTCAACAGGATGTATTTAGTATGTTTAAGGTTATTTATGATTTAAAAGGTTAATAGTTACTTTTGAGACATTTGTCTTTAAAACTTAGTATATATGCACTGTGATTCTTTGAACAAAAAATGAGCCTGAGGGTGGGAAATTCTTTGGTGGGGAAAATCATAAACATGATGATCTGTGTTTAGTCTGCAGAACCCGCATAAAAAAAACAGACATAGTAATGCCCATCTGTAATCTCAGCATTCCTATGTGGAGATGGGAGCTGGAGAGAGAAAAGTGGCCAGAAGCTCACAGTCCATCTACTCCACATTTGCCATGGCATACATGCATACTAACCCAATCACAAACACACTCAAATAAAATAAAATAAAAGTATACATGTGTACTGAGTAAAATACCCCCCTCAGTAATAAATTACTGTCTTTATGAAGGATAATGACTCTTTACTCCATTTTAATTGTTTATAATAAATTAGAAAGTTTAGAATTTCATGAGTCATTGGGTAATAGGGCAACAATAGATCATTGTTCTAATTAAATGGCAGAGGAAGGTTTGATTCCTATTAACCCTCTTTTTAATCACTCTTTGAGCTACCACATAATCTAGGTAGTTACTTAAAATGCACAACATACTGCCAAGGACCAAATGAGGAGGCCTTCTCTGATTGCCTCCACTGTACATACTTTGTTGGAGACCATGGAAAGTAGAAGAGGCAAGGAATGATGCTTCTCTGCACTGGGCAGCGCATTCTATCGATTTCCAGGCATGCATCCACGGTATAAAATCAGTGTCCACTCACTGTTAGCACAGCAATGTGTAAACTTCCTGGCATGTTGCCGTGGTCTAGAGAGTGAGTATCTTGCCCTGAATAACCATCAAGAGCAATTTAGTGCACGATATTGACACTGCTGAGCTAATTACATCCTTAGAAGAGGTGTTATGGTCAAGACGAGTTAAGGATTCAAATAACCAGCTAGGCTCCATATTCATCTCAATCTGAGAAATTCCTGAAATAACATAAGCTATTCTTTAGACTGAGAAATGAGTCATCCTCTCTCTGAGGCCTTCAAGCCTGTGTGAAGCTAAGAGTACTATCTGAGTTTTGACAAAATCGTATTACTTCTAAAAGAACAGTGTTGTGCTTTATCACAAGGTCATTTTTTAAATGTTATTTTAAGTCCTTGAGATATAAAAGCATTGAAAGACTTACAAGAATGTTGGTACAGGAAGCACCAAGATGACTTCTTACTATGTGGGACCACGTGCACTTACTATATGGGATCACCTGTTCTTACTATGTGGGGTCACCTGTCCTTACTATACGGGATCACCTGTTCTTACTATGTGAGGTCACCTGTCCTTACTATACAGGATCACCTGTCCTTACTATGTGGGGTCACCTGTTCTTATTATGTTGGATAACCTGCAAAACACATTTTAAGATTTCATTTATTACTCTAGATCAAAGGGTATGTCCAATATAAAAAATAAAAAGCTCATCAACTCTCAAAAGACATAACCCCATTTGTTTCATAATCCTAGCTTTAAATTTTGTATGGGTTTTTTTTTTCAGAACACTAGAAAATGAAAGGCTTTTAATACTGCTAAACAAAAAAGAGGAAGCAACATTTTGCCCTGTAAAAACAGCATTATATGGAATCAAAAATACTTTTGTTTAAAGAAGTGTTGCGATTGTTATTGTGAGGTTTTTAAACACTTCTGAATTTTCCTAAGGTACTTAGCGCTGCCACAATGGTATGCAGTCATGAAGATAAAGTTCTTTTGATAAATGTCAGGTTCACGTTACCACAGCGATTTTTTTCATATTGACAATATATTCAATAAATGAAGAGAATTAAGCCACCTTTATCTAACACTGCTGATTGTTCAATGGATAAAAGCAAACTCAATGCAACCTTGACATATGTAAGTCCAGTTATCTCTGGTTTATTTTGCTCAAGTGAAGTTTTTGAGCATCATCTAGAATGCTACATATATCGTTTAGTTTTTAGCTAATTTTACTTTCATTTTCTTAAGACAAAATTAATGTATGTCCTGAGGAATGTTGACAAATACTCCAACTCATACAGTTATCATCTCATCAAATTATAAAACACTGTGGCTAATGTCTGGAGAAATGGCTCTGTGGTTAAGAACACCTGATGCTCTTCCAGAGGTCAGGAGTTTGGTTCCCAGAACCCATGGGTGACTCCCAATCACCTATAAATCCAACTCCAGATTTTGTGCCCTCTTGCGACCCCGGGGGCACCTGTACACACATCACACACACAATTAAAATAAAATAATAAATCTAAAAGTATAAAACATTTCAAAGACCCCAGTTAACCCTTTAATGGCAAATGGAACCCCCTACCCTTACTCAAAAGAACTACTATTTTGATGTCTCTGTCAATTTGTCTCACATGTACACGTGTGGTAGGCACATGGATGCACATGAATGTGTCATGTATATACAACTACATGAGCAAATATGTAGTATATTATGTGGGAAGTGTACACAGGTACAAAGGCCAGAGGAGGAGACTGGGGGGGGGTGATCTCTCACTCCCTTTTTTATTTCCTTAAGAACAGCTTTCTTACATACTAGATATTTACATTACAATTCATAACATAGCAGCTTTACAGTTATGAAGTAGCAACAAAAATAATTTTATGGCCTGGGAGTCACCACAGCGTGAAGAACTGTATTAAGGGGTCGCAGCATGAGGAAGGTCGAGAATCACTCTCACTGGCTGAGCTAAAAGCCAAGAAACTGCTGTTTCCACATTTGATGTCCTCATACTTCATACTGTTTTGCCTCCGTCTCTGAGAGGACCCCTGTGAAAGGGCTGCTGGACCTCAAGGGGGTCACGACCCACCGGTTGAGAACTACTGATCTAAGCATTGTGTTTGCTCAGGCTGCTACAGGCAGCCAGAGATCGCTGCAATGCTCAATGAGGTAGGAACCAACCCAGCAAGGCTTGAGAGGTCAGGGCCACTGTAGTTTCCATATGTAACTTAAGTGGGAACACATACAAGCTGGGTTTACCCCACTACTAAGGCACAGCCGAAGTCCGAGGACTGAGCCGGATGTGTGGTCTAACCGGTGCATTGTCCAGCATGCCTGAGACCCTGAGTTCAGTTCTCAGAACTACATAAACTGAGCACGGCAAGCACTCGGGAGGTCGAGTCAGGGGAATGAGAAGTTCAAGGTCATCTAAGGTTACCCAGGCTGGCCTGGAAGGTAGGAGGTACTGTCTCAACCCTCCCCTCACCAAAACTAACCAAAAGAAACCCAAACAAGACAAAAACACCAGGCTGATTGATCTAGCTAATATAAAAGACTGTTCAATAAAGTTTGCTACATCAAAAGAAAAAAAAAAAAAAGAACAGCTTTCTTGCTGAACTTGAGTGAGGCTGATGGTTGACAGGCCCCCAGCATTCCTCCTGTGTGCTCACTACTCCTAAAGCTAGAGTTACAGGAATGGCCACAACTGGCGTTTTATATATTGTGGTGATGTGAAAGAAAATGGGCTCCAAAGGGAGTGACACTACTAGGAGGTGTGTCCTTGTTGGAGTAAGTGTGGTTTTATTGGAAGAAGTGTGTCAGTGTGGAGGTTGGATATATGCTCAAGATACCACCCAGTGTCTCGGACCATTTCCTGTTGCCTACATGATGTAGGACTATCAGCTACTTTTTCAGCATCTTGTCTGCCTACCCACCACCATGTCACACTATGGTGGTAATGGACTGAATCTCTGAACTGTAAGAGATCCACCCCAATTAAATTTTCCTTATAAGAGCTGCCATAGTCATGGTGTCTCTTCACAGCAATAGAAACCCTAACTAAGACACATGTGTTCTGGAGATTAAACTTAGGTTCTCATTCTTTCCAGAAAGAGCTTTTACCCTCTGAGCCACCCCCCCCCCCTGACCACAGTAACTGATTCTAATATGAAAATAATTTCTGGGCATGATAGCTCATACCTGTGATCCTTGCTCTTGGGACGCTGAAATATAAGGATTGCTATATGCTGAGAGCACCCTTTACTATTGTGCTGGCAAATCTTATGTCAACTTGACATAAGCTAGAGTAAAAGGGCAATTGAGAAAATGCTTTCATAGATTCAGCTGTAAGGCATTTTCTTAATTAATGATTGATGGGGGAGGGGACAGCCTATTGAGGATAGTGTCTATCATTCCCAGAATGGTAGTCCTGGGTTGTATTATAAAGCAGACTGATCAAGCCATGAAGAACAAGCTAGTAAACAGCTCCCCCCCCCCCCGTGGCCTCTGCATCAGTTCCTGCCTCCAGGTTCTAGCCTTGCTGAACCTGACTTCTTTCAGTGATCAACTATGATGTAGAAGCATAAGCAAAATAAAACTTTTCCTCCCCCCTTGCTTTTGGTCATGATAGTTTATCATAACAAAGAAAGCGTAACTAGAACAACTATGTGGTAAGTTCTTGGTCAGGCTGGGCCCCAAAATTACTTATGATTTTCTTTGCTCAATGTACATTTTTGAGCCAGGCAATGGTAGTGCTTGCCTTTAATCCCAGCACTTGGGAGGCAGAAGCAGGTGGATCTCTGTGAGTTAAAGGCCAGCCTGGTCTACAAGAGCTAGTTCCAGGACAGGCACCAAAGGTACACAGAGAAACCCTGTCTCAAAAAACCTTTTTTTTTTTTTTTAAAGAAAAAAAAAAGTACATTTTTGAGCTTTATCTAGGATGCTACATATATCACTAATCTTTTATTTTTAGTTTTCCCTTTCTAAAGGAGATATTATATTAACATCTGGATTTTAAATACACCGCCCCCCCCCGCCCCGCTCCAAAGATCTATGTGTTTAATGAAGGATTGTCACTAAATCTTTAGGAGGTGGGAACCAGTGGAAAGGAGTAAA